AAATTTTCGTTACTACGTTCGCAAAACTATTAGGTTTGGCTATGGAAGAGGGGACTCACCTACAAAATGGGAGGGATAAGAAAAGGAATGAATCATCTCACTCGCACTCGCAGGATCAATGAGGAGCTATTTGGTTAACCTTGAGGAGCACTCGGGAAGCAAAAGAGCCGAGTTTGCCCGGCTCTGTTATAGGGAATGATGAGGGTAAAGTGGGTAGAAAAGGTTAGGAATGAAGAGGTATTAGAAAGAAAAGGTTAGGAATGAAGAGGTATTAGAAAGAATAGGAGAACAGAGGGGAAGTCAATAAAAAATAGGCGAGGTAGGTTGGTAGGACACCTTCTCAGATATGAAGGTCTAGTCAAAGACTTGTTAGAGGCAGAAATAGGAGTTAGGAGGGGTAGAGACAGACCTAGGTTAGATTACTCTTCGCAAATAGTTAAGGATGTGGGTTGTTCTAGTTTTAGAGAAATGCGAAGATTAGCTCAGGATAGAAAACAGTGGAGGTACGTGTCCAACCAGTCTTAGGACTGAAGACCTTATGATGATGATGATTCGTTTTCTGTATCGTCTGCTTGACAACGTACGACTGAACCGACAAGACGTGGATGGTGGCCGTTCTGTATTAAGGTCGCCTTCCAGTTAAGAACTCGACCAACTAACCCGGTTGTAATTTTGGTATCCAATCAAAATAGTGGAGACCAAATAAACACAATAAAAACACATAAAGTTGGAGTAAATAGTGTGTTCCCAGTGACCAAACCCTTGTAGATTTTGATATTTCTTCCGAGCGGAGCGTCATCTTTTACTAGCCGAATGCAGTTCTTATTTATTTTGTACGCCGCAAGTGAAAAAGACACCTCTCAATGGTTCGGCTGTACTTATACATCAAGAACTTTAAGATTTTCGTCAATGCATTATTTGGCCGATACGGAGTGCCGATGGAATTGCATTCCGACGAAGGCAGGAACTTCGAAACGACTTCGTTCAAGAACATCACTGAACTAATGGGCATTGCCAAAACGAGGGCTACGCCCTTACATCCACAATCTAATGGAATGGTTGAACGGTTTAACGCTACTGCTTATAGATCCGCTGTTCTTGAGATAAACGGAGGCGTTTTATTTGGGAGAAAACTCATACATAACACTGTGCGTAAAAAGCTGCGATTTGAAAGTGACTGCATGAAGACCAGATACGATCGACGAGCCAACTCTGCTAGTTTTTATGAAAGCGTTAAAGTTTGGTTATACAATCCATCAAGGCTTCTCGGGCAAAAATTGAGATCGTCCACCTTGGCCGCTTGCACCCTACAGAAGCTACTTCACTGACCGAGATGATCAGTTTTAGGAGGGGGTAGTGTCACATGTATGTGGCAACTCAACATACATACTGGCAAAGAAGACCAGGTTATACTGGAACATTCTGGAACACTGCCAGCCTCCATAAATAGCTGTCGCGAGATCAAATGAGTACCAAGCGGTATGACCTAGAGGTCTAGACTATTGCCTAGTATTCGGGAGGACGCCGGTTCGATTCCGGATCCATCTGCCTTGGTCAATGCCTTAAGCAAATGCTGGGGCAGTAATATTCCACAGATAATGTTTCATTTTCTTCTGTCTTCATTTCGTCCGTCTCATCTTTCTCACCCGAACCACCACCCACCCATTCCCACGATTCCTGAAAGAAGGCTGAAGAGGGCCTTCCGCCTTACCTTTCGGCGTACTCCAGAGGGACTGCCCGCAAACTAGCATTAGTGGTTGGTGGGAATGATACATCGAAAAGTTTTTTTTTCGAATGAGTTAGTCAGTACGAGAACGAGGTCGAGGCGATGCGATGCTAAGCGGAGTAGAAGGTGCAAAATGATAACTGATTGATAGTAAAAGTGTTAATTATATAGCAAATAATTAAATAAAAATAGTAATAGTGCAAGGTGTTTAAATAGGTGACAATATGTACGCATATATATATGTAGGTATGTACGGAGGTTGCTGCATAAGTTTTGCAAAAGTATTCACTAACATTTTTTAAAATTAATGCCATCAGAGTCTATACATTTTTGCATACGTACAAACCAACCAACAATGAGAGCCCCGATCGGGTCAGGTACCAAGTACTGAAGCGTGATATTGGTCGCAACCCTTCCAGGTCATTTATAACTTGAGGTAAAGAAATGTCTGTGTACCAAGTAGAAGTGACAGTGCTCTATGCATCGAACAGCACCCTTTTTACATGACCTCTTTTACCAAAGAATACTGCAATTATTCTTTTTTTAACTGATCTCTGTTGTTTAACCCTGGTCGGTACTGGCTCATTTTCAAACACTCATAATTTAGATTGTGATTTGTTGGGAATGTCGAAAAAATATAATCAGGTTTCGTCACCTATGATAATTTAATCGTCATCCTTTGAACGGCCCTAGTTACATTTCTTTACACCAACTGACGCGATGCTAGCTGGTTTTATTGAGGGAATGAGGGATCCACAAAGAACATATATTTTTTTCTTTTAAATATTTATGCAAAATTGTCTATTCTAATTCAACGGTCAGCTAGAATTAAATGTTATTTATTTATTAAACGTATGTCTCAGCGAATTTTTTTTATTATATATTTGCTCTTTGTTCCATTTTTGTTTTGTAACAGTAGCACGTTTTTTCTTTTATTGAAATGGCTGTAACTTTCACATCTGTCATCCGATTTAAATGAATTTTGGTGCGTTTGAAAGAGGATGAATGTATCTTTTTAATGCTGAAAATTTGCAATAGATGGCACTGCATATTGTATGATTTAAATATAAAGTTCGATTATTTTTGGGAGACACTGTGTAGTTTCCAAGATGTATCAATACTTGACATTTTAATTTTGTTTCAGTTGAAAGCTCGTTCAGTGACGCCATGGCGTAATAGTGGCGAACACGGTGGAGAACTGTCTGTATTCTGTTGGTGAGACAAGCTCACCGGGCGTTACCATCTGCCCAACATCGAGTCTAGAATCCTTCCTGAAATTAACTCGCCAGCGTCTGAACAGACAGACTTCACATCCTTACCTGATCTGCGATTAAATCATCTCAGCTGTGAATAAACCACTCTACACACTTATTACACGTGTACTTAGCGGGTGCACGCACACTCGTACGAAACACAGATACACACTTTCACTTTCAATTCACATACACCACACTATAAGTATGGTTAAATGTTCACGCTACAGACGAACTGTTCAAAATTAATGCGTAAATCAACTTCGTGTTCCCATATTGCATAAACTATTTCTCTGAACCATTTAAGAATTCGCTTAATACAGCACCAAATTAAAATATTTTTATGTGTAAAGTACTTTCTTCTAAACACATTCAGCACCATATACATAACATTAATTCCCACTCGATAAAAATTCACTTTCTTCCAGTTTCGATATTAAAAGATTCTCATTTCTTTTATTCTTAGATTGGCTATTTTTCATCAAGTGATAAATACAGACAGATCGACGGTTTCTTTAGTAGTTACAATAGACTCTCAAAAAATATAGGGTGCTGCTGAGTGTAATAAAACTGTTCCTTATTTTCAGTTTATCGTCTCGTAGTATATACCTAATTAAAATTTTTATTTTTTGCTTGTAACAAATCCAACCCAGGCCACTGCAGTATCTAAATTATATAGTGAAAAACACTATTTGAAATAACTTTCGTGGTATTTCCTTGACTCTTGGAATATCTCCTACCTTTATTTTTTATTATTTTAAGGGCTGCTAAGAGCTGGACTTTAGCAGTTTATATCTTTTTCATTTAAATATAGAATTATAAAAATTTGGTACTAGTGTCCAATATAAAATCTGAACAAAATTGAAATTTTTAATTATATCTATTAAATTATTAAAAGAAATAAAATGTACTGAGGGTAGTCTTGATATTTCCTGAACTATTTTTATCTTGTTAAAACACTGCAGTGGCTATGTAGCACTCTATTATTGTTGATTACCTTTTTTCTTAATACGCGAATTTTTCATAGTACCTTAAGTTTTCCACTAATGATTTTCGTTTAATACAATGTGATATAACTTTTTAGCGTAAGTTTATTCATTTACTTTATTTCTGAATATAAACAACAAAATTAATTTCAATGTAAAATAATTAACGAAAAAATCGTCACATTATAACCCCTGCCACCACTTTTTTGCGATTATTTGGTTTTTATAGTTTGATCTGATAACATATTCAATAGTAATAGTTTTGCTGTAAATATTACTAGATACATATTTCACTCATTTGAATTTGTTCCTATAACAGCCACTAAGTTACTACATACTAATTATCTGCAGGGTGACCGCCGAGTTTTTTTTTTTCACTTTTCAATCATAAATGTTTGTACGACAACGACAAATAAGTAAGATATTTGACATTTAACAATGCAATAAGAGAACATATTGTTCTGTGGAGCTTCGTTGGGCCTAAAAACAATGTTTGCAACTGTTTACCATAAAAAAGAGCCTAAAAATATTTCTGATAGTCTTTATAAAAATCCGTACAAGGCGCCAAGCTCTTGTTAAAACGCACAAAACGTGAATTCCACCCTACCATCAATTGTGATTAAAATTAGACATTTTGGTCACCCAGTATATCATAGATCGTAATTACCTTACCTGCCTGCCTATATTTAAATTTTGATATAAATTATTCATAACTGCGTCTCTTACATTCAATTTTTAAACACGATGTATAATTTGCTTACCACAAGTAATAAAGAGGGAAACGATAAAATCAAAATTACAGAAACATTTTCCCAAGAGACAGTATCATAGCCCCTAAAGTTATTGTTGTTTAGAATGAATAAAGTAGATGTATTATATATGATAGGATTTTCAACAAATTTAAAGACTTATACAAATGGTATGTTTGTGAATGTGTTTGCTATACTGTGAATATATATTGTAGAAATAATAGAGTGGTTCCAGAAATATTACTTATATTTTATTTACTATTACTTTATCCTAATGTTTAAGATATACCTAACAGCTTATTTAAACTTTGCTTTCTCTGTAGTCAACGTTAAAAGAGCTACCTAAGATTACTCTACACATAAGTTAACAAGTAAGAGTTTACTTTTTATTTGTAACTTGATTTTAACGACACATTTATTGATACCCGTAGTATATTGCAAGAGAGCAGATTTAAAAAGATTTGCTGAAAAATGTACCGAAAGTTGCCATTTTCTGTTTCTTTAATAATGATTCCAGGGTAAGCATTTTCTTCACTTGTATGTTTTTGTGTAAAAGAATATTATATATAGTTAATATTGCTATATATATACATCAGATATATATATACAAATATTTATATATAATCACAGGATAGTCGATAGAATGTGCAAAAATTATAAGCGATATATAAGTACATGTATGTTTAGAGTAAACTTAAATACCTATGTGTTTGTTTAACCGAACCCAGTGATGTGTTAAGTATTTCTGCATAATCTAGTGCAGCGAGAATAGTGTTACTTTGACTCTTTTGTGATATATCTTCAAATAAATGTCACATAAAAACAATTAGTTGTAGCAACTTTTAGACTGCAAAATTTGATATATCCAAAATGCTCATAATTTGTGTACAATATATTCTAAAATTACAAAAACTATTCAGGGATTCGTTGTTTTTATGTGGCTGTACTGCACCGTGTAAGAATTAGTTGCAATAATCATGAGTTTAGTTATGTTACTTAACATTGTATCTAATAAATATTTTTTATCACGAATAGTTTGTTTTTATCATCCCAAATATTTGTTTTTTTTTTTTTTTATTCATTTTAACTATCAAGACAAAAAAAATATCGTATACACAACGAACCTAATACATATATAATAATTTACTAACTTTTAAAACTTAGCGTTAATATGTCATTTTGTGCACATATGTACATATGTCACCGCAAATTTAATATTTATTGTTTGTTTATTTGTTGTGTTTAAATTAAATGGCATATCTTCCTTCCACATACATTCAACAAAAAGGGATTTCCAAGCGTGTTTTAAAACAGGTACATTCGAAAAATGAGTTTTACATATTCCTGTACAAAAATACTGTTTTTAGATAACAACCTCAAAAATTTCTAAAACTATAACTTCAGAAAATTCGAAAAATGAAACTGCCAAATACGCTTTGGGTGATCAAGGAAGTTTAACTACTTCTGCTGGTTCTTCAAAACAATTACAGTCACCAATTTATGTGCACGAAACTAGACATATTCTTACAAAAATTCCTAGTACATCAAGCAATACCCAAAACAAAAAGAATAATAACCCAATTGAACATGAAACTTCAAACGTATTCCATGATTGTGGAAACCACAACCACCAACGGTAGTTAAAAGAATTAAATTGTATTTTCTTGAATCCAATAAATTCTTAATTTTAGTATGACGCAAAGCACATTACCAAAACTATTACGGGCAGCTTACGCTAAGGCACCATTCCCGAAAAGAAAGTTACCAAAATCTAGTTTTCCGGTAGATGATAACAGGCAAATCAGCAAAGAAAGTTTGATACAAGTAGAAGAAACTTACTGGATGAACTGGAAACCTAGTACTACCTCTAATCAAAAACCAAAAAGTAGTTATAAAAAAAAGCAACCAAAAAATATTAAAACTAAAAGTACACAGAATAGTAAAGTAACTGCGTCATTTTTGCAAGGATCAAACATCCCACGAAAAAATACTCAGAAAACAGCTTCTCTTTTCCAGTACAGCAAGAATAAATTTGGCAAGGAAAGTCATCCGTTGCCCCCACGTTTTAACGATCAAGAGTTGAAAATTTTTCCAACATTATCTGTAAAGACTGATCTGACATACTATTCACAAGAATTTGAAACAAATAGAGTAGATTACGATGAATCGCTTTTATTTTCAAGGAGAAAGAGAGAAAGCAGCGCATCATCTAGCATTTCAACCAAAACAGATAACTTAAAAAAAAATAGTGAGCCAGTTTCTCTACGAAAAGAAGAAGTTGAATCTGATAGGGTTTTAACTGATAGGAGTCAACCAACTGATAAATCTCCAACTGTTAAAAGTCAAGTTGTTGTTACGTTCAGTGACCATTCTTCTGTTATTTCTAAGTCAGATACAAAGTTGATTCCAAACGTTGCTCAAAATTCTCAAACAAACATAGAAAATTCTACTGCTTCGAAGAAATCTGGAAAATCATTAATTCATTCCTTACCTTCCAGTAAGAATTCTCAAAAAACTGCAAACAGTAAACGAAAACTAAAAGAACAATCAATTGAACCCCACTATGCAGCAGAATCTGATAATGAAGAAATAACAGAACTTAAACATACGGATTCCTTAATATTAGCATGTAATAAGAAAAGTAGAGAAAAACCATACTTACAACAACCAAAAGCAATAAGGCTGTTTAAAAGATCTGTATCAACAAAAACTGCAAAAATAAAATCTCCAGGTCCAATTCTTAAGAAAGATACCTCCCCCAGTAAAAAATCCCCACTAATTCGACTAGGAAAACCTGGTAGTCCAGTGGTTTTATCAAGTAAATTTTCAAGAAAAAGTAAATGACCATCTTCCACTACCACTCTCAAAATATTCTTTAGATTACATGTTTTAATTTAATATAAGTAGAGGATCTGAAAATTTTACTTAATGTAACACAAAAATTGAAAACCTATTTTGACAATAAATTCAGTAACAAAAAGTTAAAAGTTTCTAAAAGTAATACTATATTTTTTCCTTATAGTAATTCTAAAAATAATTGCTCCTAAAAATATGTTACAGTTTTATTATGCAATTTACAAAAGTTTACTCTATTTGAGTAGAGATTTTCCCAAAAAAATTATAAAAACAATACCTGTTGTGGGAGTAATCAAGATTAATCAAACTTACAAGACGCTTTAAAATAAAAAGCAAATATATACCCAAATGATTAATATTAATATTATTCATACCTGCTCTTAAATGTATTAAATCGCTCAAAGATGGGTTTCCAAAACTGACTTCAATTTGTTTCAATTTTGGCGCCCACATAGTTTAAAAATTTATTGTACTACTTCGGTCCCATGACTAGTAAAACAACTGACACACCTATCTCTATGGGCACAGCAACTAACCTAACTTTTGTCTTGCTTACAGTACGGTTTATTGGTTTATATGCACTTACTGTTCAAGTGACCATCATTATTTAAAAAAAATATGTGAATTTTATCGCACATTTTATTTAACGTTTGTCATACTTTTTTACCATTTAGAGGCCACATTTTTTATAATTATAACGTAATTAGTAACCAAGTAAAAATGCAAATGGTACCCGATTTTGGTGTGTTTACCACAGTATTTTTTTACTGTAGTTTGATAATTGTAGGACCCGTGGTTACCTTTTTTGTGGTCAAATTAATACTACTTGATGGTAAGCACATGTACTTATAAAATTCGTTATCAATTTATTAACTAATATTCCAGGAATGCTTGGAGTAAACAATGTTACTTCTAGTGTTTGGTCAGCTATATTAGCTGTTATTGTACTGCACATTGCTCTGGGAATGTTTATTGTTAAAGCCTACAGTGATTCTGGGAAAAAACAAGAAAGTAAAGATGACAAGATTGATTAAGTTATATTTTAAGTTAAAGAGCGAACTGCAAGGATATTAAGGTTTACTTGCAGTCTACTGTGTTACCCTGCTGTACTAAAATCAATGTTACATGTACTGATACTTGTAAATTACTTTTCCTACTTTTTTTTGTTTTTAATTTTTGTAATATCTCCTATGAATATGTTAATAACAAAATCCTGTAGTTTTAATTTAAATAAAATATATTTTAGTGAGAAATATAAAAGAGTATCTGTTAATTAATTTGAGTGAAAATGTTGTTTTACTGAGGGCCAAGAATAAAGTGAATGAATGAATAAAACTGGGAATAATCTACCTTGCTGGGAATTAGTTATATATTGCTGTAAGCATTTCAGTGCAAATTTTAAACAATGATAAGAGAAAAAATACAAAATTAAACTAACGAGATCTGATGATTTCTAGAAATAGGCACTTCAGCCAACGAAATTATTAATATATTAAAACGATTCCATCATCATTGTTACATTGCGCTGCTGTAAACATTGTTAATTGGCTATTATTATTTCCTTAGAAACATTTTGTATTTTGGGTTGCATACATTATACAACGTTTGAAATTAAATGAATAGACGACCTGTGTTCCTGCGCAATACTAAATTCAAAAGTTCGGAAAGACAAATCTAGTTTTAGTAATAAACCTAATTAAGGGGAAAACGACAAATAATTAAAAGAGCGTAATTAATATTCTTTAAACAATGCTTGCAAGAAATTTATTCGGTCACATATTAGTTTAACACGAAAGATCACTATCTGACAAAGAAAAGTTTAGACATCATGTCTGATGATTTTTTTAATGTGAAACTAAAACCATAGATGTCACCCCTCACGTAATAGGGTATTTAAATAATTTATGATTTGTCTTATAAGCAGTTTTTTTAGTTATTTGTTTGGTTATTTTTAAAGCACATATTGCAAATACATTATTGCCTAAAAATTTGTGACGAAGATTATTTCCTTTCCTTTCCAATATGTATTTAGGCACATTATAACAAACTATGCAAAGATCTCAGGGCCGTATGCAGGATTTATCCTCGGAGGGGTTTCGATACAACTTTAATTTATGTTGAATGGATATGTATATGATAAAAGGGTCTAAACACTTTTTTCTCAATTATTGTGACAAACATTATTAAGCATTAAAGGTTGATTTCCTTATATGAACAAGAAACTTATTTTTTTTTATTTATTTTAAGATGGCGGCATTGTCACGCAGATTAAAGCTGAGCAAATCAATCACTGTAAAAATAATCGATCCGAATCCGATAATCCCAATAATGAAATTAATGGGAATAATCGATTAATTAGAACAGTTAATTAATCGGAAGAACCGGATGTCGTCCCTGTCATGCTAATTCAGTCGGGTCATTACTCTTATTATAATGTACGTGCGTTCTCCCTCTTTGTATTTATTTGGGTATGCGTACAAACATATTAGTAAAATCGTTTACATTCACTAATTTTTACGTATAATAGTAAGCAGAATAGAAATAAGCATATTATCCAAATAGTCGATTAATAATCAGTTAGGTAATCCATTATTTTTAGTTATTAAAAATAATCGATTAACGGCCATAAGCGAGGCTGTTTGTAATAATACAATTGTACAGTGCTATCCGCCATACAAAGAGGATACACGCAAGAGATGAACATATTTACAAATCGCTCAATTCTTGAATACGGCCCTGAAAGATCTTGATTACTTACTCTATTACTTACCGAAATCAGCTCATTTTTACGAAGTTTCCTATATCCTCCATACAGCAGCAATTTCAGTTTTTTATGTAAATAATACACACTATGTAATGTCACTAAAAAGAAAGGAGAAGTAATCAAGATTAATTAGGCAATTCGTATACATAGTTACACAGTACATAGTTGTACTAACTTACCAACTAATTTTAGTCCATTTAAGTTTTAAAACTGCTTTAATATCACTATCACCACAATACATTACGTACCTTTGTTATGGCCAAGGTACACGCCAATGAAAATAAACAAAATAAAAATACAGTGAAAATAAAGTAAAAATAAAATTACATGAATGTAAAAAAACTATTTTACATTTCGTACCTTTGTTATGGCCAAGGTACACGCCAATAAAAATAAATAAAATTAAAACAAAATAACAATAAAATGAAAATAGAATAACAATAAAATTAAAAATAAACTACTTTACATTCCGTACCTTTGTTATGGCCAAGGTACACGCCAATGAAAATAAATAAAATCGAAACAAAATAAAAATAAAATGAAAATAAAATAATAATAAAACTAAAAATAAAAAACTACTTCAGATTCTTCGAATTCCCAGTGACAAATCGGGGCGGGGCAATCGGCCTGTGGGCATAGTGATAACTTTTCAGCTAAGACCAGTAGCGTTGTTACAAATAGTTCCAAATTAACAGTGAAGAGAAGTGGTATCGTAATTTAACTATTCTATTTACTAGGCGCCAATGAATTGCAAATTTGTTAGAGCAATATTATTGATCCTTTTATTTATTGCTGTGCTAAACATTTCCGCCTATGTACCTATCAATCTGACCGTCGCGTGTTCTCCTTAGACGTCGTTCGCTGTACCTTTGTTATGACCAAGGTGCACGCCAATGAAAATGTATAAAATAAGAATACAGTGAAAATAAAATAAAAGTGAAACTAAAAATAAAATAACTACTTTACATTTCGTACTTTTGTTAAGGCCAAGGTACCCGTCAATAAAAATAAATAATATAAAAATACAAAATGAAAATGAAAATAAGAATAAAATTAAAAAAACACTATACATTCTAAACTGTTGTTATGGCTAGGGTATAGGTACACTTATAAGTAAAAAAAAAAATAAAATAAAACGAAAATTAAAAAACCACTTTACATTCTGTATCTTTGTTATGGCCAAGGTACACGCCAATGAAAATAAATCAAATAAAAACAAAACTAAAAATATAAAACCACTTTACATCTCGTACCTTTGTTACGGTCAAGGTATACTTCAACAAAAGTTAATAAAATAAAAATATAAAACCACTTTACATTTCATACATTCATTGTGGTTAAAGACCATGGCAATAAAGATAAAAATAAATCAATAATTAAGTATAATAATCTTTTACAAACTTTACAAAATCAAAAAATAATATAAAAGAGGAAAAAAAGAATTAATATGTATTAATGTATACGAAAATCAGGCGAGGATCAAGCCTGAAAGCTTTGATTAACTTTAGGTATATGAAAACAAGGGCAGATTTATGTTGTTATACATTGAAAGGGTAAATAATTGGGATAAACATTTTGGCAAAAATGATAAAAAAAAGGTATTTTGGACACCTATGTGACAAATAGATAGTTACACCTACTTATGTTTTGTTCAAAATTTTAATTGAAGACCGAACTAATTAAAATATTTAAGATTGTACAATTACCTATGACTACGGCCCTCTTATGAGCAGTTTTTATTGGCTTAGCACAATGAAAACTTTATTGAATAGGCCAATCGCATTGTTTACCTAATATGGTAGCCACTGAAGACATCTACTACGATTGGTGGATGGTTCTTCAGACGTGCGTGAGAACCGACCCCCTTTTTATATAATGCGATAGTATTGTTGAATAACTTAACATAAAAGTTAATTGGACTCAAACATACCAAATACACAATAATATCTTGGCCTCGTTAAATATTGACCAATATTTTTCTTTCAAAGTAATTACGACCAAATAAGATAGAATTGAGTATTTTTTATGGATAGGTACTAATTTCTAATTGGTTGTTCTAGTACTGATCAGTAATTTTAGCTAAATATGCCAAATAAAAATTAGACTCTCTTTGAAATACTTATGAATATAAAGTAACATTAAAAGTTGAAAGTATTACATGCATAGAACAACAATCACAAAATAAATTAACGATAAGTAAATATTGCACGATTTAACAATGAAGTTACTGTTTTAAAGTTACTTGACACAAACAAACGGTCAGACTGTAAATAATTGTTAATAATCTAATTTAACTGATTTTGTGACTCTTCTGCATGACTCTGCAATGCATCTATGCACCTTCATACTTTTATTGCATTTGTGTGATGATTTTAATGAAATATATTGTTTTTAACTTCTTCTACTTTGGATCTTTCATATCAGGTAGGTAGATGCTCATAATAAATGAAAGAATCATAATTGACGAGGCGCAGTGTTCTAATATCTAATAAGTAGGTAATGAAGGCAGAACATTGGATCCTTTTGAAACGTAATTTGTAGTTCTATAAATAATATAAATACCTAATAAAACATTGATTACTTATTCAAAAACTATTTCCTTTAATGTTTCACATAGAATGTATACTTTCTATTTTATAATCATCTTTTTGTCCTATAATAACATAATTTAACTAATTTTATGCATATATTTCCAATAATTTATTTGAAATAATAATATATTTCAATATTTGATTCTGAATACACTTTCTACATGATTTTTACCTTTACCTTTCAATAAAAAAATGTTCCATGATCTGTAGCCTTTATGAACAATATTAGGTAGGTAGGTATGATTCCTTTGTCCTTTTGCTGCAGTGGATATTATTTTATTACTTATCGTCAAATATCAGAAACGCGTTGTTTCCTTTTACCTATAAATTATATTTAGTTTTAGAATTAAAACGATACCGTTTCTTACTTGTAAATATAAGTTACATTTAATAGTTTATCCACAAATTTATCGTCGTTCATTATCATTATTAGAAATAAAATCTTTGGGTTTTTGGGTGTGTGATTAAATACTTACACAAGCAGATTAATTTTAAAAAATAAATTGTACCTAATGAATTCGGTACACATTAACAAAAATAATGTTGAAGCAACTTAGGATGATATCGTTATATTAACAAATTGAACAACCATTATACAAAATTAATGTCAAACAGGTGTCATTTGCACATACCTCTAGGAACCATGCACAAATGTTACGCAACGATTGGTAAATTTCTACTTATTTGTCGAAAAAATGATTAATTTGTTGGTAAAACATACAATCTTAATAATTTCCAAAATTTACTTACCTTCTTGTATGAAAAATATGTCTTGGAGTAGTAACTAATTATTAATAATTCACACATTACGCATCAGTTAAAAGACGCACATTCCTCCACATACGCTCAGGATTAAAAAGAGCGGGTGAATTGCATACACATATCGCATAAGTTTCTATGGTATTTT